TCGAATCTCACCATATTAAAACTTGTATTCGTTTAGCAATCTCACTCCTGACACCAATTGTTACGTATTTCCTTAGGATCGATCTCTAAATTGCTAATCGAATAAAAAGTAACCAAGATTTGTAACACAGGAAAATTGCTTCTTTATTCAACGAATGATTTTCAAATTCTGGAAAATTTTCATAAAGATATGACAGATTTCTCAAAGCTTAGATTCTTACACATTTTCGGTACAATATTTTAATGGCACTTGATGTAACCTATATTTAAACCTCCACAACTTTTAAAGTTATTGGGGTTTTTTCCACGTCAAATTATAATTTTCTACGAATTCAGATGTTAAGTATTAGCCAAGTAAATTTAAATCAAATTGGTTCGTAGAAAAAAAATGTGTAGTAGCGAACTTTTGACACAGTTTACTTCTATTTGACGCGTAGATCATGGATCCACAGTCTCGCCCCTTAATTTCATATCGGAACATTCCGCTATATTGGATTTCAGGTTTTTTTTTATAAAAACTAAAACAAAAAGCATTTTTACTGTAAATAATTAGCAAAACGTGCGAAAAACGTTTGCATTGTCACTGCTTTCGCCATTTTTCAACAATTTGTGATAAAAATTCGTGGCATATTCAAATGCTAAGTTGTAATGAACTTTTCTCTTTTAGTGTTGCGTTCACCGGTGGCACAAAATTTGTAAAGCAAAATCTAATTTACGTTTAGTTAAGATGCCATATTTAAGACGCCATGTTGAATTTTTCAAAAGGCCTCACGGATGAGGAGGTTTAAAAATAGTTTAGCTATTTTTGACATCGGGGGACAAAATCTATCAAGTGCCATTACAATATATTAAATTTCCCGCTGACGTTTGGCAAAATGTTGGCCGCTTTGTGAAAAATTCCATGAATTCGCTGAACTTTAGGGCCTTTGAGACACGTCTTTCCGTTATTCGACGTTTTTATGACCAAATGAACTTTTCTGTGGGGAGTCTTGCATTTTAGGACAAAGGCTTGATGATATTTATTAAATTATTTAGCAAAACTATAACTAAATAGGGGAGCGAAAAGTGTTATAGGCCACATAAGGAAAAAAAATAGGGGAGCGAAAGGTGTTATAGGCCACATAAGGAAAAAAAAATCTGAAGAAATAGGAAATCTGAATTTTAACTCATTTTTTAATGGATAACACAGCCCAACAAAAATATAAAAGAAAGTTGGTACGGCAAATGTAAATGCTGTGTTTGATAGATTTTTTTGTGCTGATTACGAATCCGTAAGCATAAAGTCTCCATCAGCTCTAGAACGAGGTTAAAGTGCCAAAAAATCGCGGTTTTTGCAAAATATTTTAGCAGCTCTAGCAAAGAAACAAAAGGTGATGAAGCCTTCCTGGCTTAAATTAAACCTAGATCGCCCGACTACTATCTCCGAAAAGAGATCGTAAATGTTTGAGATCTTAAAATATTTTTTACCATTATTATCTTAAACTAAATGATATAAAATTTTTATTTCCCTCCACAGGGGGGTTTAAACCCCAAAAACCCCTTCCCCCTTTGCCGCCGGGCCCGCACATAAATATGTATGAATGTATACATATATATTTAGTATAGGTTTGCACGTATGCATTATTCATTATTTTTAGACACGCACACGTTCAAAATCATCCAGTAATTGCACGGAAATACATTCGAGCATGAGAGTCGAGCAACCAAAATAAACTGTGTCAGTTGCTGAATACTCTAAATCAGAGATTCTTAAAGTGGTACACGGGAGGGGGTCTACGTTGGCGTGAAGAAAAAAAGGGGGTTTACAAGATGTAAATAGGGGCCCACGAAAATGGTTTCGATAATAAATAACAAACATGTTGGCTTGGCTTTACCTAGCAATGTAGGCAGATAATGCAATAGTCAAAAAAATTTCAAACTTTTCGGTGATTTTTGACCGACTGTATTACAGCGCTAATAAAGAAGAAGTATTTCGGTGAAAAATGGCCGCAGTGAGATTTTAAGAGCATTAATTTTGAAGCTTTAAGATTCTTATTTTCAGATTTCTTGGCTAAATATTTTTAGGAGCTGCGGTTCTCATGCAATCCTAACAGATAGCGGGCTTAGAAAGCCTTTTCTTTAATAACCCTTAATTTCCTTTTTGTAGAACCTCCCTTAATTTTTGTGAGTAGTGTATTTTAAGACAGAGTTGAATGAAATTTCCATACTTCTCCTCACTACCAGGGCTGTAAACCACTTTTGAACCGAACTGGTTTTTGAACCGCACCGTCGCTGTTTTTCGGGCTTCGAACCGAAGCACAAACCAAACCATTTTTATTTTGAAATGCCAAAACCGTACCGAAAACCACTCCAAAAAAATGGTTCGGTTAGGTTCAGACACTACTAAAGCATTTTTCAAGTTTTGCAGTACACAACTTTGCCTATGGTAAAACTGCAAACATTTTTAACTTTTATGGCATCTCTGTGAGTTACAATTTCGTCCATATAAAGAATGCTTGAAATGTTTTTAAATATTACCGCCGGCGAAAAAAATCCTAATCCGTGAAACCAATGCTAAAAATTAACTTAAAATTTAAAAAAAAATTCTAGAAATTCTCCTTAAAATGTTTGCAATTTAGATGAAACTTTGAAGAATTTTCGTAATTTTTGCACAAAGTTTTAAGCTCGGATTTATTAATTTTTTGTTAGAGGACGAACTATGAAAAAAGTAAACCTAATATAAACAAAAAAATATAGCCAAAATTGTTAAAATTTCGCGTCTTTATTTATTTTTCCACCACTTCAAATGTGGATATTTGAATTTGATCTCAATAACAAAGTAAAATTCTGAAAGTGGTCTATGAGAAAAAAAGGTTTGGAAATCTCTGCTCTAAATAATAATGCCAGTACGCAAACAGACTAGTGCCTCAGAGAAGAGGCCGTTAGCTGATAATTTTTGTGTTCCCTTTTGAACATTAATTTAATGTGCAGCGCCAAGAATAAATAGCAGGGCTGTGTCATATTGCCCGTTGCATATAAATCCGAACTATACATATTATCGTAAGGCGTCGAAATAAAAAAAATTTATTATACCCACTATTCTATAAACTTACTTACATAATACCATGTTCTGACTGACAGCAAAAACGTGATTTCGTTGCTAAAACTGGTTTTCGACTTAAAACTTGTGTTTTCGTCCATGTAAAATCTGTTAAACGGAAACCAGTTTTCGCTGAAAACTACTTGAAAACTCACATTCCACTCATTCTAATCGGCAGGGAACGGATTTTATGGAAATTGCCTTTTTTTCTGCTAAAGAGATAGAGTAAGAATGTCCACGATTTAGCTTTCCCTGATTCAATATATACACATTTGATGTTGCCTTTTTTTTGCCTTTTTTAAGATATTTGCCTTTTTTTTGCCTTATTTAAGATATTTGCCTTTTTTTGCCTTTTCTGCTTTTAAAAAAGTGATTATAGCATTTACAATTTTCTTTTTAAGATTAAAAAATATGCACATGCCCATGCGGCTTATAGGAGCGCAGGGACCTCTTGCCAAATTGGTGTTGGAAAAATTCAAAGCCGTTTTCTCAGCTAACGTAGGCTTGGAGACAATAAGGGGTGTAGATAAAATTGTAAAAGGCGAGGAAAACGCCCTTATTCCTGATAATATGAACGTTTCAAACGTTCAATATTTAAATTGGGCTCCACTTGTATCAACTACGTCGAGCGCACATTAAGTACATTCAAGGCTTTTCTTCGCGAAAATCGAATGAAAATGCTGCCAGAAAACTTCAAAATGCATCTTGTGGTTCAATGTTACTACAACTATACAGATTAAAATTTTATGAGTTAGAAACTCGAAAGGATAAAATAGTCAAAGATTCAAAGTACAAATTTTTCATATAATGAAACTACTTCATAGTTTTTCTCTTATTACTTGTAATATAAACATTTCTAAAATAAATGTATTTTTTGATTGTTCTTCGTATTTTCTGTCTTTTTTAGTGCCTTATTTTGCTTTTTTTGCAATACCTAATGCCTTTTCCTGCCTTTTTCGCTATATTGTTTTGCCTTTTTTTGCCTTTTTTGCAATACCTAGTGCCTTTTCCTGCCTTTTTCGCTATTTTATTTTGCCTTTTCCAGCCTATTTCGTTATTTTATTTTGCCTTTTTTATAGGTTTTTAGGTCCTAAAAATCCGTTCCCTGCTAATCGGTGTCCTCAATAGTCTTTTTTTTTTATTATTTATCCAAGTGGAAGTCATATTTTATCATCTTTTATATGCCAGTTCGGATTTATTGNTATAGTCTTTTTTTTTGATTATTTATCGAAGTGGAAGTCATATTTTATCATCTTTTATATGCCAGTTCGGATTTATTGTTAATTGGCTGGCCAAATTAAAATAATAATAAAATAATGAAAATAAAATGAAAGAAAAGAAAATAAAGAAAAGTAATTTGGTCTTGGTTTTTCGTAACAAAACTGTAAACTAAAGATGTAAGAAATGTCAGCGAAAATACTAACAGCCGGTGGGAACAGCCTTCAGCCCACAATCCCGTGCATGTACTACATATTTACTTCAATAGTGTCATAACTCAAAAAGCTAAACTCGAGAAAAACGGCTTTAAACTTTTGAATTTACATATACTCCCATAGTAAAAATAAATACATATTTTGTCCTAGTGAGATGCTGGTAATCGATACAGCTATGCAATTTTTACACAGCATAGAAGAAGAGGTAGCGGTAATTTCTGCATATTTAACTCAAGATTTATATTTTTTGGTTTATGACACTATTGAAGTAAATGACCGATATGTACATATATTCAAATTTTTATACACACACACTACCATTGATATAGAGACATACGAAATTATTTCGACTGAATTAATATGACACACATTCTACCTTTCATTTAACATTTTATTCGTAATTGCACCTCCCCCCTCATGTTTATGTGAATATGCCATATTTTGTGTTTTATTGTTAGCCACAGCGATTTATTTTTAAATAATCTGTCTCATCTTTTTCTGTTTTGATTTGTATTTTTCAACAAACGCAGCCAGGCCAAATATCGCAACAGCATCACCTATCGAAACACTGACAACAACAAGAGAAAAAGCGTATTCATCACAATTGGGAACATTTCGTGGCAGATATGCCAGCACCAAGAGTCACACGTTTTTAGCAGCGTTGCAAATCGAAGCGCGCCAGCATTGTGAGCGAATAAACAAAAAAATACCCACTTCGCTGCCAACTACGTCAGATTTGAGTCAGTTGCAACGGCCGCGGCCCTTACAATACCAGAAGCTGACGCTGGAATTTTCCGATGCTGATGATGCGCAGCAGCTAAGACATCCACAGAAGCAACAGTCGGATAACAGCCTGCAACAGTCGGATAACAGCCTGCAACAGCTGCAAATGTCAGCGACGAAATTGCAAAACACCGCACGTATTACTAGCAGAGAGAAGAGCGGACGGGAGCAAATACAACAACCAGAACAGCAGCCTCCGCTGAAAGGACAACAGCAAATGATAGTTGCTGATGTTTTGTCTCCGGTTGTGGGAGTCGATAATGGCGATGGCGCCAACAAAGTGGCCAAAAAACATCAATTCTGCACAAATGTGTACAAGAATAACAACAGCAATAACGACAATCGAAATGAGACTACAGAAGGTGAACAATTGCTTCCTTTGACAAGCAGTGTATTAGCAGCGCCAACGGGTGCGCCGAGGCAAACAATGAACGCGCAGCATTCATGCAATAATTATGAAAACAGTCCGAATGATCAAAATAATGGCCACACGCCATTACTGTTACCCCAGTTCCCGCCGCTCGCGTCGCAGTCGGCCTTACAATCGCGTTCCACTGCAGCGACGGCGACAACTGAGTCAGCTTACTCGGCGGCCGTTGGTAAAAATACGCTCAATTTTTGTGAGCGTTGCTGTGAAAGCGCTAGCATGGCCAGCGACAATTATGCTCAGGGCGCAAACGCCGATCGCAAAAAGAATTCGAGTGGAGAGGACCACTATGAATTCTATCGCGAGTTCAACGATTCAGTCTCAAATCTGTCGTCGTACCGATTCATCTCCGATGATGATGAAGTAAGCGCGAGTATATCTGCTAACGAAACGGTTGCCACAGAAGAAACATTCAATATCGAAACCAAACACTACGAACTCAAAGGCAATAACAGCAACAACAAAGTAGAAAAAGACATCATATTAGGCAAAAATCAAAACATCGCGCCGTCGGGAGCGTATTCGTACTCGAACTCGTGCTCGTACCCGCCATTGTCCCCGGAATCGCCATCGTTGTTGACGCAAAAGCGTTTTCCGTTGCCAACATTGTTGACACCCGCCGCAGCACAAACAATAAAAATAGCCGCACCGCGTTGTGCTTCGCCTACAATTTGTTGTTGTAAAATTGACAAACCCATCAGCTTACATTATAACGCGACTGTTTTGGAATACATACCAAACGAAACAAAGGCAACGTTTCCAACACCCACGCCCGATATCGCATATTCAACAGCTCCCGTACCGATTCCGAATACTTCTGGAAGTACGAACAGATTCCCAGCGGAAGAAATCGGGTTAAGTGAATGTTTCTACCATGAGGAGCTTCTGTCTACATCACTGCCAAGTAACTACGGTAGTGTGAAAAGTATTGAAAGGCCCCTACGGAGTACCCAGCATAACCCGAAAAGGTTCAAACCCCCTCCTCCCGAACCGCCACCGAAGCCAAAACAGGAGAGAAGACCATTCTATCGGACCACAATATATTCGAGCTCCAGTGCATCAGCGCTAGAGAATCAGGGCCAGGTAGAAAAAAACTCTTACAATAACGAGCGATCTAGCTTAAATGGACAGAACTTCTATACGAACAACGGACAAAAGCTCGGAAAGCCAAAGTCGTTGGTATCTATTCCTTCGCAGTCATCAACACGCTATACACGCTATATTTCCAAAGATGCTGGAAACTCTGCCCTTCAATTGTCACCTCCCATTGAACGCTCCGTTTCGCCAGAGCATTGTGAGTTGTTGAGTTGCTTTGGGACGGCTAANCCTATACTCCTTTAACTATTTCCAAAGATGCTGGAAACTCTGCCCTTCAATTGTCACCTCCCATTGAACGATCCGTTTCGCCAGAGCATTGTGAGTTGTTGAGTTGCTTTGGGACGGCTAAAAATACTCGAAGCGAGTCCGCAAATCGAAACGACGAGCGTCTAGGTGACGCACGAGGAAAAGAAAATAGCCGCCACGAGAAACAGCGAATAAAAAGAAATGAAAACATAGATATAGGAAATGAAAAGGCTGCGAAATTTATAGCGCGTAGTTTAAGTGAAAGCAGCTGCTTGGTGTCGGCGGTAACGACACTTGTCAATGAAAAGTGTGCTATCGAAAACAAAAATAATCACCACCACCAGCACAAGTCACAGCCTGCACGTCAATACCTGGTAGACGCGCAATTACAGCTACCAACATCGTCGTCTAATCACCATAATAAGAATAATCATATTAACAACAATAAACGGCAGCATTGGGGTGATTTCGAGCATAGTCAACGAAGTGCAGCCAACAGGAAAAAATCAGCGGCGACAAGTGTCTACGCTGTCGCCGATGTAAGTGGCGGCGTGTACGACGTTCTTGACACGCATGCCGTGGCTAGTGGAAATAGTATCGCATGTGGCGAATGCAATAACAACTACAATTGCAAGGCAAGGTGTCTCGCGGAACACGCCAGGTTGGAGGCAGCGCCACCACATTTTGGTGTGGTAATTGGCGAGGTGTTGAGTCAAAGTTCGCAGTCATCAATATCTTACTTGTCTTCCTCACTGCCAAAACGTACGCTGCGTTACGATAGTTATGGCCGTTTGAAGTCTGAACGGGTACCGCGTCTCCCTACTGTGACAAAATCACTAGCCAACGGTCGCAAAGCAACCAGTGAGACGCGTCTGCATCGTGCGTTTCAGAATGCCTTAGCCCCATCTGAGTGCGATTTGCTTTCCTCTCTGTCGGTCAGTAGTATTAAGTTTACTCCTACCTTGGGCCGAAAATTTAATTATTTAAGTGATAGATTTGAAGACTATGTCGTCGCGTGTGAAAAATATGAATTAGGTTCTACATGTGAAGAAAGTGAAACTACCCCGAAATCAAAGCCGAATCATAGTGTGCAAAAGATAATTATTACCAATGACGAACCAATCTCATCGGCAATTAATGCAAATACTACCGACGTGTTACAGTCAAACTCTATTGATAACCTGCCAACCAGTCACGTATTAGACGAAGAAGTAAATGTTTCTCTTCCAAAGACTGTGCCAGCGCCACAAAAGATTTATAAATCTTTCAGTGATACTCAAAATTTCTTGTCCCACCACAAAGCGAATCAAGAAAGGATAAACAATAATAATATTGAGGCATGGCAATCAAAACGTTCCATTAGTGACTTTTCGCTCAAATCGGCTTTTGCTGAATCGGATAGTAGTTTACCATGTCAGTGTTCTTCTAAGCAACCCATATCACCGACAGATACCACATCGCCCTCTTCACCGACTTTGCCAATATCATTACAGTCCCAGAAATCGTCTGGTGGGTTAAACCAGAAAAATTCACAGTCCCTTCCAAGCGTTCCACAATCGAACGATACGAATAGTCCGCATTGGCTTAGTTGTGAGACTCTTGCGTCGTCGCGTCGGTCTGAACCAAAATCTGGGTTGGACGATTTGCAATCAAATTGCAGTGATCAAACAACTATTTTCCACTTGGATAACGAATGGTCCCTATCGGCTTCATCTTTGTCGCCAACATCTCAGCCCACGCTAATCACCGGAAATAGTGGCCACATCTCAAGGGGTCCAGTTGTGCTAAAACGAATTCCAGAGATACACTCATTCGGGCATATTCCGCAAATTCAGTCGAATACTCAGAAAAGCGCTAATGTGCGTGAAGAAGGCGAAAAAGAGGTGAGTGAAATAATATGGTAATTCGCTCCTTCGCGTATTCATTGTATCAGTTCATTCTATCTGTGTGTCAGATGAAAATAGAAACATTTCACTTGTAACTCAATGGCCGAAACAGCTCTAACCCAGCAAACAATTAGATAGGAACTTGGCCCAAATCAAACATAGAAACATTTCTATTTCGTATGTACGCATATGCTTTTTACAGAAACAAATCTAATTTGCCACGATATGTTGCCATTTCCATATGTAAAAAGTGGCATGTTCACATTCAAATACATATCGTGTAAGAACACCTTTACACAAGATACAACGAGTAATTAGAAAATTATTTGCGAGTTCAGTAATCCATACTAGGGATTTTTCGAATGTCATATTTTTCACATTCGCGAATGCGAATTTTCATTAACATCAATAACATTAAAAAGGCTTTAATCAAATTAGGACATCGTTTTATAGATTATTACAACATTAAACCAGTGCTTAACCTATACAGTGTTTTAATCTAGTAGTCAAAGCTCAAAAGGGGCATATTACATTTCAGGAAAAGTAATTTTGCTTCCCATGAGTACGGTGACCAGATTTCTGTGGACAAAAATCGGACTCAAAACATACAATTTTGTTTTTAAAATAAAGAGACATAACAACCTTTAATAAAGTTATATTTAAAACAAAACACAGAGAAAAAACTTAAAAAATGATCGCAAAAATGTATACACAGAATATATATGGTTGAGATAAAGTAAATAGGGAAGAAATTTTAGTAAGTTTTGGGAACTTTTCTTTGTTTAAAAAATTTTTATTATTTTTTAACCGACTCCACAAAAAGGAGATAGGTTATCAATTATTTGGAATATATATATATATTTTCTTTATGTATGTTACGGCAAAAATTTGGACCACGTTAACCGTTATAATTCTTTTGTTAACGGAAAGGTGTTACCTCACACGTGGTTCCATATTAATTCCTCGAATTTAAACAAATGCTGATCAAAATTTTAAACTTTTTAATCAGATTTTTTAGATTTTTTTTTGAGCATGCAGTTTTATTGTCCATACAATTTTAATACAATAAAGAGGAAGTTCGAAGTAGCTTGGACTTACCGTTGATTTTTGGCAATTTTTTGTTTCCGGATTTTCTTACATACAAAGTGACTTCGACATTTTTTTTTGTATATATAGAGAAAATGAGCAACACCTTCCACAAACAAAAAAAATTTACCAAAAGTCAACGGTAAGTCTTAGCTAATTAAAATTTACTAAAATTAAATGGGCTACAAAACTGAATACTGAGAATCTTTCTAAGAAATCTAATTAAAAAGCTCCAAATTTTGATGAAACTTTGTCAAATTGTTTGTGGGTCAAAGTATAGGGAGACTCTTGTTAAATTAATAAAGAAAACACTGAAAATCGGGATTTAATGGGTACAAATATAAAATATCGGGAAACTTATAACTTCCGACTTTTAAAAAATATTCAGAGTGACAAATTTCTCAAATTTTCCGCCAAAATCGGTACGAATGGTCACCGTACCTATGTAAAATGTGATTAGCACTGAAATATTTAACAGGTCATCACAAAAAGAGAATAAAGTGCGAACGTTAGAAAAAAAAAAATGCGAACACATTTGAGGGCGTCCAATTAGATCTACATACTTATATTTTCTACGACATGAAGCAGCGTACAAGGGTTATTTTACCTGTAAAATACTAAACGTTAAATTGAAACAACCTTTAACATATCGCACACCTAGATCTAAAGTATGATCAACTCCAATAAATGCAAATATTTTTTGTTCATGATTATATATATTAACTAAAAAATTTATGTTATACAATCTTTCCACGATTCGTAATTCGCTCTCTAAGTAATTCGCTAAGTAATTCGTGAATTACCCTGCTTCCACGTCAAACATTAGTAATTCGTTTGGCAGCTCTAGTTCTTGTTCTTGTTCTGCGCTATTTATTATTATTTTTGTGTACTGCAAATATCGAAGATGGAGCTAAAATTTAGTTATCATCAACAATTTTAATTTATATAGAGAATATTTTATTAATATTATTCTATAACTAGAAAAAGTGCCAACAATTGGGACCAGGTCGGTGAAAACTTCGATATATTTCCGACAAATATTATTCGCATGGTAATTCGATCTGAATTACCTACAAATGAGGTAATTCGCTCCCAAAATTTTGTATGGCGAATTACGTAATTCGGAAGGTAATTGGCAAGGCGAATGACGAATGGGAGAGCGAATTACGAATAAGAGAGCGAATTACGAACCGTGGAAATGCCGTATTATACCTGTTTTTGTATTAATTTCGTTGAATCTGTACGATCCACAAGGAGTTATATTTCCCTCTCTGAACTTTGAGTTAGCTCACTTTAGATCTAGGTCATATGTGCGTTACGCTGCGATTGTGTGCTTAGTGGTCGTTAACTGCGCGCTCTGCCCATGTACACATTCGTATTCGCAAAATATTCGTATCATTTGATGCGAATGTGTAAACTGATGCAAACCATTCGTAAAACGAATACGAATGATTCGACATTCGCATTCGCATCAAATGATAAAAATGTTTTGCGAATGCGAATGTGTACATGGGCAGAGAGTCCACTCTAATATAGTTGAAATGACTCCATCGATGGTAAAAAATTAACCATCTGTAATTCAACTTACCCAGCAAAAACTTTGATTCTTTGGTAAGCGCTTACTTTTTGTATCGATGAAGTAACGCACTACAATTCGCCGTTAGACAAGTACCTGTAATGCAGTGGTTACACGAGAAAGTGACAAAATTTTGTCTTGAGGCGAATTACAATTACTCCATCGATACAAATAGTAAGCGCTTACCAAAAACAGAAAAGTTTTTGCTTTTATTTTGGTTTTAATTAACTATTGTTGTCCGCACTGAGGTTTGATGTTTATAGAAGAGTACAAATGTAGAGAACAGTGCTTCGACTCATGAAACTCGATACAGGACTAAATTACTTCAAAAACAAGTAAGAGCAGCGCTGTCTTCGGCTATGCCGAAGGCTTCATACCTTTCATGAACATCTGCAAATTTTACTTTGACAGATTACTGCTTTTGAATACATCTGCATACATCGATAGAGGAGTTACATACTTATATAAAAAATCGCATCTAAACAATCAGAGGTATGGAAGATATACTTTATATGGCACCAATCTAAGTGATTTTCACTGCTATGTGATCGGTATGTAAACCGGTAACACAATTTATTGGGTTTAGTTTCCTACATAAAGGAGATATATCGCAAAAACTGGTATCTGAACAATCAGTGCTATAGGAGATAAAGCTTATACAGCATAGATTTTGACGATTTTCTCAGTAGACTTTGTATTATTATTTATAAAATATCTTACGAAATTTATCGGTTTTAGCTGTTCAAATAAAGGAGTTTTACAGTAAAATCCCATATCTGAACAATCAGATGTATGGAAGATATATGTTGTAGTCATCCGATCCTTGTTATTTTCACTGTAAGTATTCTGTTAATAATGAGTGAAAATGGTGCGAAATTTCATGTTCCTAGCTGCATAAATGGAGGAGTTATGATAAAAGACCTCATATCTGAACAATCAGTTGTATGGGGGCTGCAGGTTATAGTGACCCGATCTTTGTTATTTTCACTGTAAGTCTTCTGTTGATAATGAGTGAAAACAGCGCGAAATTTCATGGTCCTAGCTACATAAATGGATGAATTATAACGAAAAATCTCATATCTGAACAATCAGTTGTATGGGAGCTATAGGTTATAGTTACCCGATCTTTTTAATTTTCACTGTAAGTTTTCTGTTGATAATTATTGAAAACAGTGCGGAATTTCATGTTCCTAGCTATATAAATGGAGGAGTTATAACGAAAAATTTTATATCTGAACAATCAGTTGTATGGGAGCTATAGGTTATAGTGACCCGATCTTTGTAATTTTCACTGTAAGTATTCTGTTGATAATGGGTGCAAGTACTGCAAAATTTCATGTTCGTAGCTGCATAAATGGAGAAGTTATAACGAAAAATCTCATATCTGAACAATCAGTTGTATGGGAGCTATAGGTTATAGTTACCCGATCTTTTTAATTTTCACTGTAAGTTTTCTGTTGATAATTATTGAAAACAGTGCGGAATTTCATGTTCCTAGCTATATAAATGGAGGAGTTATAACGAAAAATTTTATATCTGAACAATCAGTTGTATGGGAGCTATAGGTTATAGTGACCCGATCTTTGTAATTTTCACTGTAAGTATTCTGTTGATAATGGGTGCAAGTACTGCAAAATTTCATGTTCGTAGCTGCATAAATGGAGAAGTTATAACGAAAAATCTCATATCTGAACAATCAGTTGTATGGGAGCTATAGGTTATAGTGACCCGATCTTTGTAATTTTCACTGTAAGTATTCTGTTGATAATGGGTGCAAGTATTGCAAAATTTCATGTTCGTAGCTGCATAAATGGAGAAGTTATAATGAAAAATCTCATATCTGAACAATCAGTTGTATGGGAGCTATATGTTATAGTGGTCCGATTCTTCCGGTTCCGACAAATGATTAATACATTATAAAAATACACCCACCTACCAAATTTGATCCGGATATCTCGAAAACTGAGAGACTAGATTGCATACAAACAGACAGACAGACGGACAGACGGACATGGTTAAATCAACTCAGCTCGACGTTCTGATCATATAAGTATACATTTTAATGGGTCTATCTCTTTTTGTTCTGGTACTTACAAACATCGGACCAAAGTTATAATACCATTTCATGCTCATGAAAGGTATAATGAGAGCAAAAACAAATTTTCCGTGCAAGATTGAATTTTTTATTTTCGTTTCGGACATTACTTGTATGGCTCAAATATTTTCTATTCATGCAAAAATAAAAACGCGAGGCAATGTAAGCATAATATGTTACATATTTAGGTAATTTTCAGCATTTTCTATAAAGTAGAATATATCTAACACTTAATTTTTT